GTAGTGTAGGGATAGAACTAATCAACTATTTAGCAAGGGTAGTTGAGATCGTAGAGGGCAGGTGATTTAGAATACAGGGGAAGAGGTTGCTTTGGGGGGGGGGGCGGGTGGAGGGAAGTGTGCCAGGAGCAATGCCGCAGAAGGAATTGGCAGGGGTGGGAAGGGTTCTCAGTAGACGTGGAGACCTGGTCGCCCCTTTTCTGAAATAAGAAAGGACAGGGAAATATTGCCAGTAAAAGTTAGGACAGAAAGCACATCAGATTGTCCATCTTTCAGATGGCATGGATGGTAAATACTGGCTGAATTCAAAGTATGCTTCAGCTCATAGTTTGGCTTTGGGGACACTGCAGGATGCAAGTTTGAACACCTATGAAATATTACCTAGAGAAACTACAGAAAAGTCATGTAGAGGGAAATACCATGTTCATAAACTAGAAGACTCAATAGCCAGATGTTACTTCTCCCCACACTGACCCACAAATGTGATGCAATCCTAATCACAACCCTCTTTGGGGGTAGAACCTGACCACTCTAAGCTTTCTATGGGAGAGCTTGCAAATAAGGCTTGAGTTAACCAAAACAGAAGTACAAAGCTTTAGGTTTCCTGATATAGAATTTTGAGACTTACATTAAGTTTCATCAATCAAAGTTATTGTAGTGCCAGAAAGAGGAAAAACACATAGATGCCTGAAATATAAGAGACATCTGCAAATAGACTCATGCACACAGTCACTTTCCCTTTGACAGCTTAACTTGGTGGGAAATGATTTAAGGTTCATTTCTTCTGTAAATAGGTAAATATCAAAGATATCAAAGCAGGTAAAAGCCTGCTCAGCAACTGTGGCTCTAGGGAAATATAAATTGAGACTATGAAAGTCATTTAAATGCCAGAAGTTTAAAGCCTCCCATTGCCAGGATGTTTTACCCGAGCTCTTGGAGCTGATCAACCATGGGTGGGATCCCCTGAAACCATGAGGCAAAATAATTCTTTCCTGTCATGTTGTTCTCTCTGGGATTCTGACATGGGGGCACAGAAGTGACTGATGTGACAAGCAAAGCCCTTTCCTGACTTCTGTGACTCATCCTAGCAAGTCCTCAAACCTGGTGTTGGCAAAGTTATGAAGCCACTGGAACACTACTGCATGGTAGTGTGCTGCCCATGGAGAACAGTACAACAGATTTGTACAAAGTTAAACATGCATACCCCACATGATACAGAAATCCCACTTCTAAGTACTTAACGGGGAACAAATTTCTCTTTTGTCAGACAGAAACAAGAATATGTTTGTACAAAGACTTATGTATGTGTATGGTCGGCACTTCCATTCATCAGAGCCCACACTGAAAGCAATTCAAGTATCTACCATCTGGTGAATGAATAAGCCAGTTGTGGTATATCCATTCCATAGAATAATATTAACAATGAGAAAGAAACCGGGAATCCGTTCAACAACATGATGTATCTCCAAACCAGTGTACAAAGGAAAAATAAGTCAGGCAAAAGACTTAAACAGTGTGACATCCTGGAAAAGCCAAGTTATAGGGATAGGAAACTTAATGACGAAGTTCTCGTGTATCTGGACTATAATTTGATTAGCCCAACATAAGAGAAAACAAGTTCCCCAGGTGGCTCTCGTGTTTTAGTAATGATGAACATTGTCTTCTAAGTATTATCAGCACCGTAATGACCTAGAAGGGGAAACAGCTTTCTTGGATGTTATTCATATCAGTAGTTCTTGAATTCTAGCTCCTCTGCCTCAGAAAAAGAGAATTCTGGAATATGCCTGAGACTTCCCATTGGGTTGGGACTACTGCAAAGTACCTTTCTGTGCTAAAAAAAGGTGTGGGAACACAGAAGACAAGGGAAGCGAAACCACACAGCAGTTTCAAGAGGAGGCCCTTCAGATAGAGTAGGAGGTTGTTCTCCTCCTGGGGCTCTGGAGGTGGGCGGGTCAACACATAGCTCAGTCTGTTTCAGGTTTCTTGTATTCTGCTAGGACATCGTTGTGCTGCTGGGCCTGTGGCTTAGCCTCCTGGAGCAATCACTTTGCTTTGGTAAGCATTACTTTGTATTTTCCCTTCAGCTCTACTTACTTTGACTTTTGCTTAACCTGGTGTACATGTGTGCATGCAGTCATGAATGCCTAACCCTGTCTTAACAATCTATAGTTGCTCCCTTCCAAGGCTCCCCTCAGACTCTCTACTGATTGGCTTAACAAGTTCTCTTGCAGCTACTTATGACTCAAGCCTGCTTCTAAGTCATCTGAGTGCTCATAATGGTACGGTACGGATACCCTGAGGAATGGGTGCTGGCGTTCTAGAAAAGCAGGCCTTGCACGTGTCTCATTTAGTCTCTTTTTCACATTTACCCACAGCCTTCAGGCCTCACTGCTCCCCAGCAGCCCAGGGCCCCCCGTGGGACTGAACTATGAGCAACCAATGTGTCACCCATCCTTCTCCAACACAGAGAGGGTGCTCCATCCTCCCCTAATCTGCAGCTTTTATTTTTAACCTTTCCAGTTGATGCTTAAAAACCATACATATTTTGAGGGAACCCCATGTATACACTGTGTGAGGCTTAAATCGGGAGAGAAGTTCATCTTGCCTAAAGCATTTATCATTTCCTTGTGAAAATAGTCAAAATGCTTTTAGCTGTAAAACAATATACAGTAGATTACCATGATCTATGGTCACGTCACCAGTGGTAGGGAGCGCGCAGCTCCGTGTTGCTGACTGTGCATCCTGAGTCCCTCAGCCTCACATGCCTTCGAGAGTTCAGCGCTGAGGCTCCGCAGTTGAGGAGTCCCTCAGAACTTCAGACGCTTCCACTGGACTAGAGCTGGGATTCATGACTTGCCACTGAAAAGAATTTCTTCCTGAGTTAGAGCAAGGCAACATCAGCAAGTTTACTGTTTAGGAGAGAGGACAAGAGGGTTGGCTGTGGGACAGGAACACCCAAGTGTGTCAGTAGTGCTATGTTGGTGATCTGGGGACTTTGGAGTTGTATTGTTTGAAGGAGATGATCTGTAACTGAAGCCCAGGAAGAAGAAAAAGATGTCAGTCTCCTTCTGTCTTTTATTGAAAAATGTATTTTTGTTGTTTGTTAAATGAAATTATAGGTGATTTATGAGCATATAGGGAAGGCTTACATGTGAAGAATAAATTCGAATGACACAAAGCATCAAAATACCACACACGAGGATTTGCTTTATATGGTTTATGCGAAGAGGCTACAGCATGTGTTTTTATCCTGAATATAGTTCGTTTGTTAAATTAATAACCTTGCAGGGTTTTTAGGAAGCATAATTTCTACATACAGTTTCTGTGTAAGGAGACCTCTAGTCACCTATGTCAGCAAGAGACATAAACCAGGTCTAGGCAGGTGGGTCAGGTACTCTTTCCCCTTCCCATGACCCCTTTCATCCTTCCTACCATGCAGTGTCCTCTGGCTTTGACTGGCTTTGAAGAGGAGGGCAAGCAGGGGGACTGAAGTCAGAAAAAAAAATCTGAATGTATTCCGAGTCTACTGTGATGATGAAGGGCATCCACTTAGGAGTCTGGTGACCCTGGGTTCAAATTCTGGTTTGTCTTTGACTAGTTACATGGACGAAGGCAAGGAATGTCTACCTGTTTCTATGTCTATTGATGATGTCTGCCTCCCATAGATAGTAGTGCCAAACCACAGGGATGGTTCCTGGTGCCCCCTTACTGTGTTCCATTTCTGCTGGCTATAGCAGGATGGTTAACAGAAAGCCGTCTCATGACAAATGGCAGCATTGATTGTTTGAGGATCCTGAATATTTGTTGAGCCATATGCCATAATAAAACAAGCCCAGTTCCCTAACTGCTGAGGTATAAAAAGCACACACTTGATTAGTAATTTGAAGACAGTATATATTTCCTTTGCATATCTGTAATAATAATGCTAAATTATAGATGACAGAGAATATAGTATTTGTAACTATCTTTTATTCCTTCTGAAAATACTTATTAAAAATAAATAAAAGGAGAAAGCCAGGCACTGAGGCTCACACCTGTGTTCTCTGGGTGGCCGAGGCAGGAAGACCACTGCGATTCAAGGACAGCCTGGCAGACATAGTGAGTTTCAGGATAGCCCAGGATACAGACTGAGATCCTGTCTCAAAAAGAAAAATTAGAAAGGAAGGAAGGAAAGAAGGAAGGAAGGAAGCCTAAAATGAAAAAGGGGTGGGGAAGGACTTGGCTCAATGAGTAAAGCCTTGCTGAACAAGCCTGGGGACCTGAGTGTAGACCCCCAGAGACACATAATCCCTCTCCTGAGGAAATGGAGACAACTAGCCTAGCCTATTTATGAGCTAGCTCCTTGTCAGTGAGAGACCCTTTCTAAAAAAATGGGATGGATGACTCCCGAAGAATGATCTTGGGGGTTGAACACATACACACACACACACACACACACACACACACACACACACACACACACACACACACCACACAGCATATGCACACACCACACAGCATATGCACAAACCCATACAAAACCAAACACCACCACCCTGACAAAAATAAACAAACGAATGAATGAATGAGTGGATATAAATGAAAGAGTGAGCCAGATATGATGGGAACAGACCACAAAGCAGCCGAGGAAGGCCAAGCGGCAGTCAGGCTATGACCTCAGTGCAGTGGTGGGAAAGAATGGTGTTTAAGTCCTCTGCCTGTCAACTCAATGCAACACTTTGTCAAATAAAACATTGAGACTCAGGGAACCCATGTAAACAGGCAGTGAGAACGGGTTTGAGCAAGAGTTTGAAGTCTGGAGGAGATCACATTTAGCATGCCTCAGGAAAGAGGCCTTAGAGACATAACTGCTCTCGTGGCTGACATAATTTGAGGTCATCTGTAAAGGGCTTTGATATGCAGAAAAAATGAACATGATTGAAACCTTACGTCTCCTTAGGGACAGCTGAAGAGCATCTCACTGTGGGAAATTTGTCTGTAAAAAATGAACTAGTCATAAGCAAAGTATTCGATTAAGTTTATTGAATGACATGAGATGAATAGGAAACATTAAAGAATTTGATACAAGAGACTGGTATTTTTGTCTGTGTAAAAGATGTGAGATGTATATATATATCTCCGCCAGGGCCACGGTGCATTTGTATACTGCTGGAGAGCCTGGAATTTTAAGCCTAGGGTCTTTCAATGTTACTGGTTTTAATCTTAGACAATAAATTGTATACAAGAAACCTTTAAAAGTAGAAGGACTGTTTTCTTCACGAGAGACCTTTCACTCTGCATTGTGTTAGGTTGGAACTGCATCAGCTGCCCAGGAAACTTATTTTTCAAGCCTGCTTTTCCTAAGGGTGTGAAAGATGGAAGTACACCCATACATTTCTTGTTGATACAAGCTACAGGTTCACATTTAACATATGAGTTTCCATTCCTCTACAACCTAGGGACAGTTTTACATTACACGACAGGTCTATTACCAAACACAGGCCAAGTGGGTTGTAACTGAACTCCCATCCTCAGACAACAAGAATGGAGGCTGAGTATGCACAGCCGCTCAGGTTCACCCTTTCAGCTCCTGCAGGGCTTTTGTTACAGACAGTCATGTTTGTTTGGAAAAGGAAGTTAATTTTTCTTGGAAATTCTTCAACTAAGAACACAGCTAGAATTCAGAGCAGGGAACAAAAGAGGGTGCAGGTGTCTTTGGGAGGATAGGGCCTTTAGGTAGAGATAGTCCTTTTCCTACTCACTGGAGCTGGGGCTGGTGAAGACAGAGATTTTCTGTGAATAAAAACAAACAAACAAAAAAAAAAGTCACACTTAGAGGAGTGCACACAAGAAACCAGAACTTTCCTTTGGTGACATGAAATAAATGGAGTCAGCCCTGTTCTAGCCAATAATACATGGTAATAGCAAAATAGACATTTGTCCTACACATTCTTCCTGACTGTGTAGTATTCCCCAACTTGGTTGGCTAGAAAAGCTCTTGGTATGTTCACTCACCCCCGTAAAATTCTTAAGACTATTTGTAACCATCTGGCTCGAGGATTCACACATACGACTTTCTTAGACCTAGTCCAGATCCTGGAGAGAAATAAACAAAAATAACAATGAAGCAGTGGTACATTTTGTTCCATCCTGTATCTTTTTTAAAAATGAAGAAAGTTGATTATGAAAATGATTATTCCTAGGAGAGTGAAATTTGAGCAAGTAGTTTTGAACCTGGAATAAGCGATTTGTGGTGTGAGGCCTGATGTGAACCCATATGGGGGGGGTTTGTGGAACCCAATGTTAACAGGAGCTCATATGCATAAGAAACCGTTGTGTTGATAATCTTTATATGAGTTGGAGAAGGCACCAAATAGCGACTCCAAAGTTCGGTCAGTTCTAAATTTATACCCCAATATCATTCAAATGTCTTGCCCACTGAGCTCAGAAGAAAAAAAATAGACTAGAAAATATCTTGAAAAATCTTTTGTTGTTGTTGTTTATTTATTTATTTTTTCCGAGACAGGATTTTTCTGTATTGGTTTTGAGCCTGTCATGGAACTAGCTCTGTAGACCAGGCTGGCCTCAAACTCACAGGGATCAAAGGCATACACAGCCAACACATGGCTTTGAAAATGTTTTATCTGAAAAACTCGAATATACTTTAACATGGAAGAAGTTTTTTTTAAATTTTATTTTATATAACCAAGTCCATTCAAATGAAAACAAACATTTATAGACAATATTTGGGAATTTGGGCGTTGTTCTTTCCAAACTACTTAACATGGAAGAAGCTTTAAAGCTGGCCGGTCTCAGTGACTTTTCCCCAAGCCATACTGGCAAGGTTTTTCCTAATTTAAGAAATTAATCAACAACAATGCCATCTCTCATAAGGAATGGCCAATGTTTGTCAAATGTTATCCTCACTGTGTGCCATACATGAAGCTCAAAAGGTCACATGTTTCCTTTCTCTCCATCTGATGAGTGCGATGCTCAGAGAGTTCAAGATTGTACTGCAAATGTGCAATGCTGTAGAATTACTTGAGTTACTGTAAAGGTTGTCTGACTCCAGAACCCACACTTTTAGCAACCACTCTCCAGGAGTTATGACCTCAATAGTTATCAAACTTCAGACATGGCGTTGCATTTTCTCCCTGCAAAGGAAAACTAAGGACTCACAAGCAATAGAAAACCAGGAGACTTTCAACACTAATTTGTGTGACGTTAAGCAAAATATAGTTTCTTGATGTATCAGGCATCTTAGCTATAATCCAACAAAGAACAATGAGCCATCCACTCTAAGTATGAATTTCTATCTCTTTAGGTGAATCTTGGAGAAGTTAGAAGCCATGCAACAAGTGGATCCTCAAAGCAGCATCTGCCAGGTTGGTTTTAGAGTCAAAATGACAAAACAGATTTATGCCACCTGGTATTTTCATTGCTGACTAGTGGATTTCTCACAATAACTTGCAGCTTTCAATTCTATATCTGTCTAATGTTCAAAAATGCTAATATGTACCAAAACTTTCATTATTTCCAAACAATTGGTGTTAGGCAAGTAAAGACAATCAGGGTGTGTTACTTCCCTTGATTGAAAGGTGAGAGCATTGACTCAAGGGAGAATGCAGCCAAAAGGTAAGAGCTCCTTCTTTGTCCTTCCATTAGGCCCCATGGCTAGACTTTACTGTAGAGCTTGAGGGAAGTAACTGTGGCTTAGTTACAACTCTCACTGGTGAAGACATTGATAAAAGTATCATGCCATTATAGTGAAAAAGTTTCACACATTTTTTGATAAGCTGTTTTTCTACTTTGCAAGTCAAACACTCCTGGCTCCAGCTATGAAGCATTTGTTTCAAAGTTGGACAAACAAACATAGCTGCTTACAGACGTTCCAAAGCTGGAGGAAGTCCTTGATGGCTGGGAGTGTGGCGCAAAGGGAGAAGGCTGGTCTGAGATCTGTGAGGTGTTGTATCCCCTCCATTGCACTGTCCACAGAGATGAACGAGGGGGAGGGAAAGAAGCAGGGGAGGGAGAGGGAGGGCAAGGGTAACTGTGGGAAGAGCTGCCAGTAAAAGTGAGGTTCCAGCATGGAGAACGAGGAGGCTCTGTGTAAGTATCCTGCAGGGCTGTGCAGAAGAGCGAGTCCTGACTCTATCCCTGACTATGGGTGCGGCAAGCACGTTAGCCTACTGATGCCTCAGTGAGTTAACCTTAATGCTCACTTTCAGCCTCTGTAACACAACAGTCAGACCTCGATGGAACAGCTTGAGAAATAAAATGAGTGAACAATGGTTACAGTTGAGGACTGAAAAACAAGTCCTTAAATATCACAAATTCTCATTATTAACCTCAGATACTTAGCAACATCAAACTGTTCTCTGAGACCTTGCTACCGTACTGTTGCTAATTACAGATATATTTCATCTGTTTTTCACTCAATGAGAGCGATGACATAATTCCTTTTTTCTCGAAACTTACAGGACTTCATCATTTGGGCAGCCATTCCCACGAGATGTGATTTGAATCCGTTCTATGTTGCTTGGATGGATAACGCCTGAGATCATTCCCGAACATCTACACTTTAAGTTTGTGTAATTGGCCTCCAGGATACCTGTAAGCATAGAATCAGTCACTTCAACCCATTGGACCTATAACTTAGAAGCAGAACTGAATGATCAATCTTTTATATCACACATTTGAAGAGGCAAACATTTCAAGCCAACACTTCCAGATGCATATGCTTTTAGTTCATGTATTTCTGCTTGCTTTGCCTTGCATGCTTTCAAATGTTCTCTACCACTTAATTGCAGTGGACTTAGCTTTTCAAAATTGTAACATTCATTGACTGTCCTGGTAGCATTATGTTGGCATTCAGGTGATATGACAACTGATGCTTCAGGGACATACAAGTATGTTACAACTAATGTGATGTGAAATCAACTGATCTCCACTCCCAACACAAAAGCAGAGTTCAGGATCCTGCTGGAGACTGGTGGATACCTTAAGTATTTCTCTTTCTCACTGTCCTTTCTTTTAGCATACTCCTCCACCCTCCCCACCTCTCCACCTCAGAAAACACATGGAGGATGCTTCATTTATGTTCAATATCCTGGTTCTTGGTTTTAGACATAAATTATTACCAAATGAAAGTCAATAATAACAATTCGAGACTGGCTTCAACCACATTACTTACTAGTTATAAACATTTTATTGATAATTCATCTCATGCATTTTCATGAAGTCTGGTTTTGTTTTTTTTTCATGTAATCCAAGCATTTGAGAGGCTGACAAAGGATGATATTTATAAGTTCAAAGCTGCTTACAGAGACCTTGTCTCCCAAAACAAAACAAACAAATGATATTTAGCAAATCCTTTGTATAAGTAAAAGTGTCAAGTTCCCAAGGCATTTACACTTTTGTGGACTGAACAAGGGAACAATAATTAGACTGCCACTGAGGTAGTATTACACACAAACTCTACTGATGCTAAGAGCAGAGCATTTCCTAGAGGCTTACCAGCAGCAAGAAAGCTTCCTGTGACAGGAAAGAAATGAGAGTGAAAACAGTATGTGAAGAGTAAAAATGGGGGTGGGAGGGCTTGCACATCTTAAGTGAAATTGTCTGTCCTGCAAACCCATGTTTTATCTGTCCTGCAAACCCATGTTCTTTCTGACCACACTTCCATCCCTTCAGCTGTATACACATCTTGTCACTTCAGTTAGGAATTGATCCATTCACTCAGACAGCTGTCCCATCCAGGCTGAAGTCAGCCTCTTGCCTCTGCATTATTTAGAGTGTCAGACCTTACCACGTGCAAGTGTACTGGGAATGTTGGACTGAGAGACCAAGGTTTGGCAAGGAGAGGCATTAAGAGGCAGAGCCGAGAAGAACCATGCAAGGAAGTCTTCCTGTAGGAGGACGAGCTGACAGCCTAACAATGCATGTACTCAACACAAGTCCCCTGAACACTCATTGTCCAGGATCTCCTCTTTCTATAAATAAAGGAAGCTTCCATTTTTAAGGAGTTAAATCCCTGAGCATCTCACACTTCAAAATCTAGAAGCAGCTGAGCATTTTCCCCGCTTTTGTAAGACTTCCTTCCCAGTTTTAATTGGAGAAGAAATGGTAAGGACCATTTCTGTTCAAAGCCTAGTGAAATCATAAGTGAAAGTTCTCACCGTGGCCTGGAGAGAAGCATCCAGCCAGCAGGAAGAGCAGGGCTGCAGTGCTGAGCCTCATTCTGCCTGGAGGTGGAGTTCAACCTTCAACTCTGAGTCCAAGCCGTGGGTTCCCAGCTCCAGACTCTTATTTATTTATACCAGTGAGGGCCCCTCCCACTGCCTCTGTCTCCAGTAGGTCAGCTGCACCGTCCGTTTTCAGATCCCCCGAAGACTGCTGAGTTTGCCTTTACAGAAAAAGAAATTCATCTTGCAAAATTTATGACTTTGCCCTAGAGCACTGTTAGTATAGCAGAGTATTTCTTGAAAATGCAGATTAAAAATGTCAGAGATGCTGTGGAGATTTGAGGATGGAAAACACAGGAGAATGGTACCAGTTTGGAGATACCCCACCACCACTACCAAGTACTCTCTCTCTCTCTCTCTCTCTCTCTCTCTCTCTCTCCTTAGTGATAGAGATCAAACCCACCTTCTAGAAGAGGTTAGATAAATAGTCTACCACAAAACCCCTGCCCAAGCCACAAAGCACACTCTTATGTGTGCTTCTGGTGATTGTGGCTTTGATCGCTCCCCACAGTGGGAGGTCTGTCAAGTTTCTCCACACATTCAAATATAAGCTCTGTGACACTAGGACCTCCGTGCATCATTCCATTCCATCCCCAGCCCTTGCAAAAGGGTTCTTCCCTTGGTACATGCCCAGTCAATATTTATACACTTGGCAGACATGCCTTCATTTATAGATCCTCAAGCTGACTGTGACAAAGACTTTGCTAGCAAACTTTTCTGCCTCCTCACTTTACTATCTGAGATAATGGCTACATACAATGGAAATCCCGAAAAGGGAAAATATGTGTGTGGTTCTTGTGTACCTGTGTCTTGATAAAAGGGAATGGCTTTGAGATAAACATCTTTATGGCCACACTTGAAAGTTAGTAAGCTGGTTTGTGTGTCAGTTAAGGCTCAGGACGTCAGCTGTGGGACCTGGTACATAAACTCTTCAACTTAAGCACCTCTGTGGCTTGGCTTGGATACTACCATGGAAAGAATTAGCATATAGCTTTACCCAGTTTGCTATGGTTCCTTTGGTTTTGCTATGGGTTCTTTGGTTTAAAGGAAGGTATCTGTGTAATGGCTAGCCTGGTTTTGCATGCCAGTGAACTGACCTGGATAAGGGTAGATGTAGTACACCTCTTGGATCATCAAGAAATCAAGTTTAGTTTTCTGGAGTGACTTTCTAAACAATTTGGTGTTATGAGTCAATTACTAAATGCTCAGTGTCCTCAATGTTCCTGTGTGTGTGTGTGTGTGTGTGTGCGTGTGTGCATGAATGTGTGCGAGAGTGTGTGCATGTGTGTGTGTGTGTGTATGTGTGCATTTATGTGCATGTACATGTGTGTGGGAGAGAGAGACAGAAAGAGAATCCTTTGTGCAACAAACAATTCTCCTATTGGGACTGTAGCAATAGGAAACTTAATCATGAGACAGTCTAGACCATCTTGTCCTGTCTGGCAGTTCTAGCTATTGAAAGTTCTCATGACCCCCCAATAGTGGGAATGGGATGATCCATCCAGGGCCTTAAACATACTAGTTCAGTGCTCTATCATTGGGCTATGCTCCCAACCCAAGTTCTTCCCTTTGAGTGTGTGAAAACACATTCTCTGGCAGTTCATGCATTGTATTCTGCTTCCGTTTGCTGTCACCAAATGAAGTAATTCTAAATGCTCAGAAATCTAGCAGCTTTGATTAGCAGAGCCATCAGGCCTGAGAGGCAACTCCAGAGAAATCCTGAGTCTGATTTCAGTCCCTTCAAACTCAGAATTCTGTCTTTATTTTATGCTATCCATTCTGCCTCAAGATGGGATTGGTGGTTGGAAGTTGGATTCTCTAATATCATTTAGAGTAGAGGTATGTACTTTAAAATCTGAGAAGCCCAGAAATAAGAAATTTAAGCTGATTGGGCTAGATGAAAACATTCTATTTTTAAATTTTAAGTTGTTCTCTCTCTCTCTCTCTCTCTCTCTCTCTCTCTCTCTCTGTGTATATGTGTGTGTAGGTGTGTGTGTAGCCTGGCACATGTCTGGAGGTCAGAAAACAACTGGCAGGAATTGGTTCTCTCCTACTGTGTGCATCCCAGGAATTGAATTCACCTTTACTTGCTGGGCCAGCTCCTCAGCAAGGCTAAAGAACTTTATTTTTAAAACAGCTTTGCAGATGTCTTTGTTAAGAAACACAGATGCATCTAAAATGTGGAGGAAATTGGAAAAGTAAGGGAAAGCTTTCTCCTTGACCTTGTAATAAATCAGATTCTCTGTGTGTGTGTTCTCTCTCTGTCTCTCTCTCTCTTCACATTAGGACTGGGACTCTTCCTATATTGGACCTTAACTTGTTGTCTACAAACTGGCATCATCAGTTTCACATAGGAAACAGTTTAAAAGGGTCTGCTGGCTGACAGGCCTGTAACCCCAGAGACTCGGGAGCCCAAGGCAGGAGGACTGAAATTTCAAAGCCAGTCTGAGGAGTCAAATTGAATTCCAGACCTGCCTGGGCAGTGAATGGAAGTTGATCTCAAAATAATTGAAGGTCAAAAATCAAGCTGAAGATATAGCTTAGTGGCCATGCTTTCCTGCCATACACAGGACCTCTAACTCCTAGTACCACCACCGCCGCTGCCACAACAAAGCAAAGACACCCTCAGGGCCTGTCTTACTTTAAAGCCTGAGAGGCACAGCCTGGCAGTCCCTGAACCATAAGCTGCAGTGTCCTGTGGCTAGCCTTTCAGTGGGGCCCTATGCATATTCAAATAACCTTCAAAGTTCGTTTGCATAAATTGTCCTTTCAGTGTGATGCTCAGAAACTCCAGTGATAGAGGACTGATATCAGACAGCGTGCCCTAAGACCTAATGCAGAGCAGGTTCAGCAGCTGGGTGCTCTGTGAAGTCACCGAAACTGGGAGATGGTAAAGATAAAGCGTCTGCTGGTCTAGGATGTCAGCAAGCACCGAGCAGAGGGTCCACACCAGAGTTTCAAATGATTGATATGATGAAAAACCCTTTCACGTTTAGAGAGTGTTATGATAACTAGAGCTAAATGTCACTGTGACAAAATTAAAAATGACCCCCCCCACCATTTAACTCCACTCAGCTAGGAAACCGAGACTTACTTTATTATGTGAATAATTTTTTTTTAATCTGCTAACAATCTGCCATCAATTTGTCTCCATGTACCTTTTGGCAAGGTAGCAAAGCTTTGCAACCTGGGGGTGAAGCTCTGTGTGCCTGCTGTCTGGGTTTACACCCCAACCCCAGCTCTTACAAGGCCGCTACTTTCTCCATGTAGTGCCTCTTGTGGACAGCGATGTGGGACTAGGACCAGCTATGCCATCCCAGAGAGTCATGTGAACTATTTCATAGCATTTAGAAATTATTTCTAAATTTCTGGACAGTCAATGAATGTCAGAGTTTGTTTTCAACCTTTGTGAAAACACAAATATTAAAACATATGACAGAATGGCTGTGGTTTTTTAGACTGTGAGTCACCCCTGACATGAGTTAAAATGTCACAGGTTCACACTGGACACCTGGTAAAAGAGCTGTCCCTTCGAGAAGAACCTCCCCCCACAAGACACCTGGAGAAATTCGTATTTGTTATAAATGTACTGCACCTCTACAAAGGGAGTGTTCTTTTTTGTTATAATTTTTCTTACTTCTATTAGTTATAACTCTACTGAGTTATAACTGGTGTGCAAAGGACTACACGTATTTAATGGGAGTTGTGGGTATGTCTAGGAGAATGTTAACACTGACATTGGCTGTCATTTCCCCTCGAATGAACTGCTTTCAAAAACCTATTGCTTGCCATGCAATGATCCCAAGACCTTTACTTGCGGAGAAGTCACTTGTAAAAAAGTAACTAACTCCACGTTTAAAGTGCCATTCAGAAATCATCTCACATGCACAGGATCCCACACAAATCTTGAATCCCACACACAAAGCCATTACCTACTGACCACCGTGATTCCTGCAGCGACTGCTAGGTGGCAGCATTTCTTACAGAAACAGTTTGCAGGGAGGAAAAGTTCTGGTGTCAGGTAAGGAGTGCTCTGCGGTGCGGTGCGCTGACCAGGGAACTGTGGGCACAGTAATCAAAACAATTTAAAAAGCTTGTTCCTTGATCATGAGGGTTGAGACTTTTCATTAGGCCAAAATGGTCATCACGGAGTGAAGAAAAAACAAAAAACCCTAAAAATCTGAAACCAATCCTACAAAATCTGGACCAAATCCAGTATCTTCCTCTTGAGGTTGCAAAATCAAAGGGCACATCAGTGCTCTGGCTTGTGGTCACATTTGGCTTCCGCAGCAGCTGGTTTCGAATCTTCTGTGATTAGAAAGCCTTCTGAATGCAAGGCTACCACACACCAGTGTCAAAGTGGTTGACGATGGAGAGCAGTGACCACTAATGCAGTAATTCACACTGTTTCTCCTGTTTGGATTCTGCAATGCATACATTGTATTACCGTTTGTGCTCTTCACCTAGGAATGGATCCTGGACTTTATAAATAGTCATCAGTGGATTCATTACTCAGAAAACACATCCCTACTGGGGCTGGGACTATAGCTCGGGAGCACAAGCCTCGCTTGGAATGTGTGAAGCCCTAGGTTGAGTCCCCAGTACACGTTCTCACACAAGAGTGTCCCTACCTGAAGAGGAAGGTTTGTGGACACATTGCCTGTTCCCGAGTAATCTGACTCACATTATTTGTCAGTTTTCCTTACTTCTACACAACCATCAAGCTTTCTCATTGGATGTTTTCTCCCTAGACTAGCATGTTCTGCTCAGACCTTTGAACTTGTATTTAAGTATGTTATACACGCTGGTATCTATCCAATACCTTACTTCTGGCCATGTATTCACAAAGACGTCTTAGGTACCCAACCAAACATATAACATATTTTTAAAAGAACTGACCTTAGTTCCCTTGCAGCTTGACCCATTGTAGTATTCTGAGCTTCAGAACCGTATCATTTACCCATGTGCTAAAAACCTGAATATCACTTGTAAGTCCTTCTCCCACAAAGCCTTTATTTGGTCCCTGAGAGCTGCCTGCCATTTGTAGCTCTTAAAATATCTTGTCCGTGTTTACTTCTCTCTAG